ATTATTAATAGGTTATTAATTATTAATAGGTTATTAATTATTAATAGGTTATTAATTATTAATAGGTTATTAATTATTAATAGGTTATTATTAATAATTATTAATAAATTGTTATTATTGATTATAGTTAATTATAGTTATATTTTATATAGTCTAGTTATTATAGATAAGTGATTGTTGATAATTTATAATTGATTATTAATTAGTGATTCAGTATTAATAGATAATTATTATTTATTTATTATTGATTCTGTTTTTAACAGGGCTATGCTGAGTACACCTGGGGTTGACGCTAAGTTACTACCAGAAGGCTGGATAGCTAATCATTATAAATGGATTGTCTGGAAACTCGCTTGTATTGAAACGGCTTTCCCCCAATGGCTCGCTACCAAGTAGGAAGATTATTTTTATGTCTATTTTCAATGAATTACTTCAAATCCATCATCATTCCTTGCTCTTTAGTTTCTCTTCTATTTTTCTCTAGTGTCAGTGGACTCTGCAGTCGATATCTTCATAGTATTAACAACATTACTGATCAACTGTACTATAATCAACCCTTTCTCGTTTCTTTCTTCAGGAGCCTTACCCCAGACCGGGTTCTCTGTCAACTCAAGTATCGATATGACCGTGAGATAGATCGATCTCACAGGTAGGGAATAAATTCTTCTCGGTCTTGATTCCATTGGTTTTTGAACAGTTAATGTGCTTTCCACAACCCAGTGATGACACGGTTTCCTGTTTTTAAAAGTTTTTAAAAGGCGCTGTTACATTGCATGTGTAATTTTCTCAGAACCTTATCTCGCAACGGCGTTGTAAAACACTTGCTGGAGTATTCCACGTGCACTTATAGGTTACGGGAGGGCGAAAAATGCGAGGAAAGTTTCTGGAAGGGTAATACACTTTGCAGTGGCGTTGTAAGTTGCTCAATTTGTTTTCCTTGTTCGAAATCTTGGGGGGAAAATCAGTACCTGTCTAGGGAGGGACTAGGGGTACAATACATGCGGTGTATAGCCGTGAACCTCATTCTGTGCGCTATTGAACCACACCTCAAAATTCTTTAATAAAGTACAGTGATAAATGTCTTTCAGGTCGGCTTTGAAAAAAATCTTAGAACGTGACGACATTGC